ACAGAATAGAAATCCATAATTTGGATACTTTATGTACATGTTATGTATTCCACGGTTATGTGTTTCGTTGGAACAAATTATTATTGTTCTGTCATTAGAAGCACTCGTCGAGGCTAAATTGTAAATTCATCAATATGAAGTTCAGTTCTATTTTCTGTACTGCTTATTGAGACAAGTGATTCTAAACTGTAACAGTTTTCGAACAGAACATTTAAAGCAAGAAAAAGTGAATTATAAGTGATTAATAAGTCGAGAATCACTGTCTAAGAAACGCGATTTCTTGAAACGATTTCTTCCTTGATTGAACCTTTAAAACGAGCTTTGAGGTCGATTGATTCCTCAACGTTACCCGGGCCTAAGCTCTTGGGTCAACATTGAAGGATTATTATAGTCGAAACTTCGTAGATTCCTAATCAAACGCATGAAAATTTACGAGAAATCAAAACCAAAGAAATATGTCGAGAATAAAAAAAATAATAATGGAGTGGTGAAAGAGGAAGCGAGATATAGTCTGACATATCAGAAGATGTAAAAAGAATTTTTCTCGACGAGCAACCATAGCAATACCTTTCTGCTCAATACGGATAATAAGGGAAGAGAAAACTATAATGATGTATCGGGAACGCTTTAAACAATGGATTTAGAGAACTCGGCGCATAGTGACCATAGGCGAATTTAGATATTTCGGGGAAAGATTTCCGTGATAGAAGAGAAGGACGACGGTAACATGGCCAATCGCCGCGTCCTTTCGTTGCCAAAATGAGCTCGAAAAATTCTGTATTGTACATATACATAATATCATTCTGTAAAATCATTCTAGTCACGAGCACAACACCGAAACTGCTTCGATTCTTCCAAAGTATTTTTAGATCTCCATTGTTCGCGTGCCACGAGTAACATTGCACTTTCTTCGATGGTTTTTAAAAAAAAAAAAAAAAGACGGAAAAACCCAACAGAAACCGATAACCGAATAAGATTGTCACGACGAAACTCGAATAGCCAAGTGGTTTAAAGGGAATTTTCGTACCATTTAGCAATTCCTGTGAATCGTGACTCGATTCGAGGGTCATAAGTAAAAAGAATATCTCGTCCGCCATTTTGTACCATGTAAAGTCAGGCGAGCGCGCCAATCAAAAAATCGATAATCGATAACGAGCCGTGGTTAATAACTTCAGTGTCAAAATGAACGCAGACGGGTGTGCTGCAGATATAAATATAAATATATAAATAAATATACACGGTAAATGTTTATATGTCCCATTAACAGAGAGGTCGAAGACGATGATAGAGGGGAGAGTAAGGGTAACTCACCCGGTGTTTTTTGGAGCTCGACGCACACACACAAACCACAATTCATTTCTAACAATAAGTCAATCGAGACGAACACACGAGAAATTCCATCTGCTCCGTGCCGGTCGAGAACGATACGACAAAGGATATAAGTTCGTTAGAGCGAGGAATACGTACAACAAGTACAACATAGACACAAACGGGAAGAAAATATTTGTAAGATATCGACTAGGGTCCTGAGAACGTTTCACTTTAAACTTAATAATACGACAAAGATGAACAAAAAAGAAGATATCATGTAAAATTAACACACCGATTAATATAAATATATAAATATATATATTATATGAATATATGTATGTATACATGTGTGTACGCCTGTACTTGTATCCGTGTACGCACGCCAATCGCGCGTGTGTACACGCATACACGTACATTCTAACAAACAACAGCAACAAGAACAAAATGATTGATTGTGAGTCATTTAAATAATTGTTATATGTATTTTCTATATATTACGACACAACTAATACAATGATATATATATAAATATATATATTGAGATGACATTACGGTACTATTAACTAAGTGTAGGTAAAGTTAGCCGAGCAGAGGGCTCGCGTTGCACGGATGAGTACATAGGGAAAACGTTGGATCACTTTAATCCAATATTTCTATAATGTCTCGCTGAAGATGAAACGGAGAAGCGGGAAAATGAAAGAGGTGAAGAAGACGGGCCAGTGCGCACGCGTCGCGAAATATGTAAAAACGAACAAAAAAAGAATAATAAATAATAAAAGAACGGGACACTCGAAACGAATGTCTTACGACTCACCAGGTTTCTTCGAGTTTTCTTCTGGGCGAAATTAACAAAGACGAAACGAGGGGAACGAAACCAAAGGTGCGGTGTGAAGATACTCGTTTCGAGCGGACTCGTTTTTCGTATTGCAAACGAGAAAAAAAAAAGGTAACACTGAGTGAAGAAATCAATGTGGAATTTGCAACAAAAAAAATGTATTTTCTCACTCCCCCACTGCGAGGTGTATGTTCATCGCTACATCTTATTTGGAACGAAAAACCTAAATATTATATTATTATATAAAATTACTGTATAATTGTAACGAAAATTGTTTTTCAAACGATGTGGTATTTTTATTGTAGATATTATTATATAACAAATAAAATCATGATTCATTGTAATGAGTTGTACCGTTTACCCCCACCGCCGAGACAGCTATGCGTTTTTGATTGAACGTTAATCATTGCAAATTCGATGTACTTAATGATTTACCATCGTGAATAGAAATACAAAGCTTCTCGTAATTCTCTTTCATTTTATTTTAAACTTTTTTATATTGCAGTTTTTACCGGCATTGTATATTACAGAGACGAAAGATGTGCAATAGATTTACCTTATCACCAAATTTTTTAATTATCAAAAAAATTTGCGAAATACTTGTTTTTTCATAAAGAGTGGATGTTACTATCAAAATTAATTACAACCAAGCTGACAAAAATATTCTACACCCTGGATGCGAGAAATATGGTCATGGTTGGGGTTCGTAAAATAAATATCAATTGTACATACAAATATAGACGCAGAAATTATTTACACTCAACCATACAGATATCAATAAATACATTCACGCAGTCCAAATAATTCTACAATTATGATAAAGCCGACTGGTCAACATTGAACGTAATCATGGTCGTTGTGGTCACAGGAATTAGTGATCGTGTTAAATATCAGATTGGACTGACAGTAGAAACCTGCCGGTATAGCGTTCGCGTCCTGACAATAGTAAAATTTTCTGCAGTTAAACGGATCCCGGAAGTATCCTTCCTTCGTACACGTTGGCACCAATGGCACCGATGGTACCGTGGGAAAGGAATGATTCGCTGGATCCTGAGGTGGTAGCTGTTGCAAAGGTGTCAACGTGTTTGTATCAATTTCATGAACATCCACGTATTTCTCCATCACCCTGTTAAGCGTATATGCATGTGACAAGACGCACAGCCCAAATATTGTGATCAAGAGAGCCAAAAAACGCATCTGAAACGATACATAGACGCGATTGGCAAGCTTGTCAAATCAAAAAAGTTCTTTAGTTTAAAAAAAGAAATTTTCATAATTAGAAGATTAATATTCCTGCGATTTTAAAGTCAATATTAAAGAAATATCAATATTTTTTAAGGGAAATTACATTACTTAGATTTCTGATGTACATGCTGTGATCAAGTAATGATTTCCAAGGAATATTGAATAAAATCTCTTCATCAGAAATTTATGTTTACTGTGAAGGAATACCTTTTTATACGTATTCTATAAGTGACGAGCGAAATATAATAGCACAGTTTATTAATTTTTTTTGTCTAGAGTAAGTTTTTTTTAGGGATCAATATGGTAATGCAAATATTCTAAACTACTTATTACAGTCTTTATGTAATCTCTTAATTAAAAAAATTTATATCGATATCAATGGGATATTTTCAGTAAGTACACCTTAAAACCATAATGTTCCAAAGAAATTAGTTGACACGGTTAATAGTTTTCAATAAAATTGTATAGAAAAATCATGTGGTTTTCAGTGAAGAAAATTGTTATGATCTTTGATATGTTTCTGTAACAAATACTTACTTTTGATGATATACTGATGATATAAAAATCACAAAATAGTCCTCAACTAGTTCGACGCTTGATTACGGACAGACAAATCGATTGCAATTCTGGCACAGAGGTATCAGTTGCGTTTTACTAACTGTCTTCTATTGTGACTGACATCATACTTATATATGCGTCATCTACTACTACTACTCTATGAAATAATTTCGCAGATTTTTCGACTTTATCACATTGATAGGCACATATAATGTAATAACATACATTAACGCATCACGATACGGAGAAATGTTTAATATTTACATCGCTGACACTGCGGCGAACCGAATTTTTTCATTCCTGGAATATAGACCTCGGCAATTTCTCAACGACTCGAGATAATTCCAGAAATCATGACAGTGATCATGACCATTTTCGCATATCTAGAACAAGGTCAAGTTCCTACTAATTTAATATACTAAGTCGTGAACTCTTATGTACTGGTAGCAATAACTGGAAAGGAATATTTTGTAAACAAATCACACAATTCCGTGAATTTGCATAACCACAAAAATAATAATTAAATAACGTATATTCAGAACAAGCACTTTTTTCGGAAATATTTAAATCCACAAGGCGAACTACTATTACATATATTATGGGCTTAATAATCAAACATACTATTTAAAGACACTTTGATATACAACATTGAGTTGCTAAAAATTCAAACAAAATTTGAATGTTTTATATATCATTTCGTTAATTTTTGTTAGAAGTAGTATTGCTAGTACCGGTACCATATATGAAATTAATGTAATGGAATTCTGTTATCTGTTATATCAACAGCACTTAAAAAGACAATCAACTTTGATAATTCTATAATTTTTAGTCATTTTCATTTTCATTAATTTCTTATTACACATAATTAAAGTAGATGCTCTAAGTAACATAACATATTAGTACTGTAAAAATGCATCATAACATGGCAAGAAATCTTTCCTTTTATTAATATAAAACATTTCTAGCATGTATTAATTTATTTATTTAAGCATTCTTAAAATAAAAACAATATGACTTTATTTTACAACTTTGGTATTTATTTCTCTAAATACTAGATAAACTGTGATAGATCTGGAAATTGTTGAACATAAGAATATTTTTTCTCTGTTATTACTTTGTTTGATTTAACAGGTAAAACATTCATTATACTGGTAGTTAATTCTATAGGTCTTAGTGATCCAAAGAAATCTGTGACTGGTACTTTGTCAGGATCTCTTCTAAACAAATCTCTCCTTACTCCTACTGTTGATAAACAGTAATACCTTGGGCATACTTTGAGCTAGGAAAGAAAAGTAATATTAGTACTGTGTCTTAGAGCACGTGAATATACACCTTACTTTCAACAAACTTACAAACTCTCCCAAGGTTTTGCTGCTTGATGGCTCTACATTTTCTAAAAAGTCTAATGCATAGTATGTATATCGATCTATAATATACACACCAATGGCAGGATCCAAGTGATGCTATTAACAAAGAAGTGATCAGTGTTTCTTGTCATTTAATTAGAAACCATACAAATATTACTACTCACAGAAAGTGAATCTTCTCCCACTAAACTAGAACCAACGGCTAAAATGTTTGGAGAATAGAACTTCTCATACATTGAACTTGCTTGGCAAGTATCTACAATAAACAAGATTTCATGATATCTTCTTTTTTGCCACATTTGCTCCAATGCATCTCCAAGTTCCTGACTAGTAATCTCCTCTGAATCTTGGAACTTCAAAAATCCATTTCCACCATGGCCAGTAAGATAAATCAAAATATTAGATCCCTCATCTGTTAATAACTTCTTTGACCTTGGTGTTTCTGGTGCCAATCTACCAGTTAACAGTCTAACAAAATTTTCTACAGTGACCTCGTAGCCTCTATAATCAACTTCTACATCATCCCCATAGACATTAATATGTTGCTTGACGTTATTGAACACTGTAGCCGGCCTAGGGTTTCTTGGATTACATGCCATATCATCTGCTACCATCAAAATAATTTGCGAATCCGGTATTCCTAAACGCTTGACACTGCGATAGATAGATAACACATTTGCAACATGACGATAATTAAACCAAAAACGTGAAGTATCGACTAATACTGCCCAATTATTCGAGTGGCCGGTGTTTGCAAAATTTGCTGGTACCTGTAAAGATTAGTCATAACATATCAAAACTTAATAAAACGATAAAACAGTAACATAAATTTAATTATACACACCTCCCAGGCGTAATTTAAGTTAAAAGCGCACAAAGAAATAAAAACTTTTAAAAACATTTCGGTGTCTGTGTCACATGAATACTTTGTAATTATTTTATTACATTCGAGAATAATGTACAGAATGAAAGTATATGACCTTAATATATGATATTAACTATTTTATTCAAAACGATCATTGTGTAGTGTATAATTCTCTTTTATTGTAGGCTTCTTTGATATTGCTTACAAAATACACTACTGAAGATAGCCTTGAAACCTATGCATGTGAAACAACCCTGAAAATTCCATTGGTGCCTGTAGATGCTATGCGCCGATCGAGCCAATTTTGAAATCTGGTTAGCAGACATCACTGGCAACTAGATGGCGCTCGCTGCATATTTCCGCGGACAATTTAAAATATTCAATTTTTCCACAAAATGTTTTTGTTTATAACATTCTTTTAGTAACAATCCAAGAGTTCAGACATTGTACAAATTGTAAATATTAAAAAGTTATTAAATATTAATTATGGTTTGTAAAAATAACATTACATTTCCGCTACACAATAAACACAAATCACACAGATGATGGATAAATAATGGCATGTATGTACACCGACTAGGTATACAATAGACCTATCATCCAATGCTTTTTTTCTGTCCCACGTTCATAGGGCTACGTAGCTGTCGTAGCCCTGTTACCATTTTAGTGTCAATATCCGACGTTACCGATAAAGCATGAATTGCTGGGTATTATTAGCACAAATGAAGTGTTATTCCATTCATATTGTGTGTATCTATATGATTTGACGGGAATAAAAATATCCGATGCTTCAGTTTAAGGTTAAGGGATAAATATGACAGTCATAAAACATGAAACGGATGGTCCCTTCTTAGATTTAACGTAGTTCACAAATTCACCGTTCTCATAACGTAGAGGGCAGCAGAAAATCCCTGACATTTTACACTATCGGTATTTCAGAACATGAGACACGAAGTCCCATAAGATGATAGGCTATCCTATACCTAGTCGGTGGTATGTACATACGTACAGCACAGTGAAGAAGCGAACGACCCAAGTCATTGGCCTCATGCTGGCCTCTGTGGGCCACAGACTGTGACTTGAATTGTGTCTGTGCGTACGCATGGCCCATCGCTCAGCTGATTAGAGTTCGTTTAATTTAACTGCTAATATCTCGAAAATGAAGCTTCAGATGTAAAACTGCAAGTTTTGAGTTTGAGTAAACATCATTCATAGAATTTACAAAAAAAGACGTGTATTAAATATATAAAACATGCTACTGCAGATAATTCGCAAGTGTTAGTAGTGTTGTCTAACTTATTTACAGTTGAGGTTAATGAATTGTTTTCCAAATTCTGGATGTATCACAAAACACGTCAAGAAAATTCAAATAACTCATGTGTCATATATATTTGAAAATTATAATCTAATTAATAAAGATAGTTTCTATTACCAGCTCTGATGTTACTATCTTTATATAGAAATAGAATAACCTTAAACAAATCGTTATAATTATGTGTAAGTATAACATATTGTGAATAAAGCTAATTACTTGACTATGTATTGATGTAGAAAATAATAAAAATAATATGTTCCTCTATCGTATAAATTATAAATCATTATTAATGATTAATTTTACAGAAATTCAGTGATGGATACATTAAAAGATTCATTAATATGTCGTTTATGTGGTATAAATCTTGTGGAAGAAAAATGCAAAGATATTTTAGAAGAATCAGCTGATTTACTGCATAAAATAGCAGAAGTTTTACCAATTTCAGTATGTTAACAATATTCTGGAATTTATAAATTTACTCTGAGAAAATAGATTGTTAATTTAGTACATTTGAAATTTTTCACTCTTTTGAGTAGTAAGAATTGCAAAAAATTGTCTTTAATAATAAGAAACACAAAATTTTCTAAATTAACATTACTTTAAATAATTGTTCCAGATATCTATAGATGATAATGGTTCAAAGCACGTATGTTTGTCATGCTATGATAAAATTATCCTTTACTACAAATTCATTCAAGATGTAGCAGAACATTCTAAGAAATTAGAAAATGTATCGCAAGTAAAAACTTTTTTCAACTTATCTAGAGAAGTTACAGACTTCTCAAAAATTCATAGTGATGCTATATACACATGTCCGAATTGTAATGTAGGTTTAATGATTTTATTAGTCAGTAATCCACCAAACTGTGATTATACCTTTCAAATCGCATTAGCTATGATAAATGATTCTGAAAGGAATCATATTTTAAGGGAAAAAAGTATACAAGTACACAACAATGTAATAAACTTCAGCAGTGTCAAGAAGAATAATATACATCCTAAAGATGAAAGTAAAATAGCAGACACAGAAAATATTAAAAATATTTTTAATCAAGTGAGTCTTACATTGCCTGTATTACAACAAGAAGAAAATACAAACTATGTTGATAGATTATGTGTTAAAGAAGACTTAGAGATGATGATTAAAAATGAAACAAAAAGCAAATCTGAGAAAGCTAAATTTTATGATGATTCTAATAGTCTATCAAAACTACAGAAATTGGAGGAAGTATCAGATGAATTTAATGAGAATATATTGAACTGTAAACACAATTCTACAGAAACATTAATAAAAACTGAACGTGAAAGCAATAATACTTATTGCTTAGACAGTGAAAATTATATTAAAAGTGAGAAAGATACACATATATCTGAATTACAAGATATAAAATTTGAAAAGGATGAAACACAGGAAGAAAGTGATATTTATAAATCTTGTTTGAAGTATGTATGTAAATTATGTGGAGCACGTTACCTTTCTCTTTTGAAATATAAGTTTCATATGGAAAGACACAAATTAGATAAAATATACAAATACGAATGTATAGTATGTGATAAAGAAGCAAGCAGTGAACATTTATTATGGGATCATTACTTTCATACACATAAAAGTTTGCAACGTTATATATGTACAGGCTGTGGAAAATTCTTTAGAAAAAGATCAAGATTGAACAGCCACCAAAAAATTTCCAATCATTCAGGTGTGAAACAAATACGAGTTAATCCTAATGATCACAATGTCACCGACGATATTATACAAAAAGCTATAGCAACAACTGAAGAAGAAAAAACTTGTATAAACTGTAATCTCTGTGGAAAATTAATTTCTGATTTAGATCCAGATGCCATTAATGATGTAGTTACGTGCATTGACTGTGAAGACTCTACACTTTCTTTAATGGTGGATGGAAATGAGACAAAAGTAATCTCTCCTCGACAATACCACTGCTCTCAATGTCCTAAACATTTTGTGCGAAGAGAAAGATTAGAGTTTCATGAAATGAGACATAATGAGAATATGAATGAGTTTATTTGTAGTACTTGCGGAAAAGATTTTAGAGCAGAAAATTCGTTATATGAACATTACATCTTTGTTCACAAAGGTGCAAGACCTCACATTTGTGAACTATGTGGTAAATCATTTCAGTTGAAGACTAGATTAAAAGAACATCATCGAATTCATACAGGTGAAAAACCTTATCAATGTGATGTATGTGGTCAAAAATGTAGAACCACAAACGCATTAAGACTTCATAGAAAAATTCATTTTTCTCATAATAGGTATACTTGTAATATATGTAGTAAGTCGTTTAGTAAGAAACAAAATTTTAATGAGCATTTAGAAAAGCACTGGAAAAATGATAAAAATGTGACATTACCACAATTATTTAGATGTCCAATTTGCTTAGAAAATTTTCCAACATATCGAATGCTGAAATACCACATGGTAGATATTCACAAAATAAATAAACAGGATCCAATTCTAACAAAACAAAAGCCATGGTACGAATGTCAAGAATGTCATGAAAAATTTAAACACCAAATGTCTTTAAAGGCACATAAAGAAAGAGCACACGAAGGTAGAGTAGATCCACTCTATCAGTGTGATACATGCAATGCCACTTATAGAGTCAAACAACTTTTAGTGAATCATATCAGAAGTAAACATAATGGTGAAAGGCGCTACAAGTGTGCACAATGTGAAAAGGGATTTAATGATACAAAATCTTTATACAATCACGTACTGTTACACACTGGGAAGAAACCGTTTATTTGTGAATACTGCAATATGAGATTTAGACGAAAAGATTCTAGAGATCTACATCGCAGGAGGCACACAGGCGAACAACCTTATCAATGTCCAGATTGCGGTGAATCATTTTCCACTTATAACAGCCGATCTAAGCATCGAAAACGCGAACATGGGGAAGGAGATCCTGATTGTCCTGAATGTGGTGAAAAATGTAACAATCAACAGGAAATTAGAATTCATTTAAATAAACATCTTGGGGAAAAATTACAGAAATTGCAAACCAAAAACTAAAGAGACATAGAATTCAGAGTTATTCAATCTGTAAGAATAATGGGACCTTGATTAAGAAGCATAGTTAGTTAAATATTAAAATATTTATTTAAAAAAATCGAATTATTATATTAATTTTATGTGTATAATTTTCTTATCTCATTTAATGTTTAGTCATAATATTTCAAGTATTATAAATACAATTACAATTTATGCAATCTTAATAACTTTTCTTACTTATTATTTTTTACTATTATTTAATCAGCATCTATTACTAAATAATATATTTTCAGTTTTAAATATTGTAAATATTTTGGCAGTAATATATAAATTTTTGTACAATCATAAAGCTTTTGTTTATAATATCTAATGAAGTATTATCAAAAGTATTAAAGCCTGTTTTACTGTAAGTAAACACAGGTAGTACATCTTTAAAAGATTGTGTCGGTTTTAATACAGTCTTTTTGTTAAAATACAATTTTTACTTACTAGTTATAAATTGCTCTACAGTAAAAATATATTTCAATAATTTATCAAATTCGTATCAAAATACTCGTTATGTGATTACTGTCAGAAGAAACAAAAGGTTATTGTGTTATTTATTTAAACTCCTTTAGTTACATGATTTTAAATCAAGAGTAAATGATTAAATATTTGTTGCATTACTTGTAAAAATACTCATGACTATAATATTTTATGAAATTACAATCTCCTTAAGAACAGTTTTGTGAAAAAACAAGATAAAACCGAAAATTAATCATCATAAATATGTCTACTGCTACAAAAAAGAAGTAATACTTTAGATGGTTTTTAATGTGATTACAAAAGATGTGTGACAGTATTTATAAACCCAGAAGAAACTAATTATTAGAGAAACAGGAAAACAAAATTAAAAATGTGAAAATTTATTTAGACTCCTATGATATTTATTAATGATTTAGTTCTGCAAACCTAAAAACTGAAAAGAATAACTTTGTTATCAATAATGTTAATTAAATAAATTATTTCAAGCATCATATGTTTTGTGTATAAAGTAACCCATTGTAGACATATTTTAAAATAAATTAGACAGTTATAAATAAATCACAAAATTACAGCACGATTAATCAAGGCACCATTATAAATGAAGGATAAATTATTAAATCTATGCTTAGTCTTGTGGAATGTTTCTTAGTATCATTTTGATAATGGTACCTGTAAGAATAAAAAATATGTAGCTAAATTAAATAAAATTCACATATACAAACAATATATCACATATACAATATTTAAGACAATACTTTTTCTGTATTTTCATACCTACTAATAGAAAGTTTCATTTCATTTATATTATTTTTATGTTCACTGAAACATTGTTTTTTTTTTGCAAGTATTTCAATATTAAATAACATGAACTGTACTTGAAGATCTAAAATACATCAATTAAATAAAATATGTTCACAACATGCTTTCAATAGATTAGACTATGAGTATTATACAGTAGAAAATTATATAATTTATTAAATATGTATACACGTATTGTATCATGTGCAAAATATTTTGTAACTAACTGTAACTGTTACATACAAAGTGTTAAAGAAAGTTTGTAATAAAAAAATAGTACTTACATGTTTTAATTTAGTATTTATACTTTTTCCTTAAATAAGAAATAACATAACATTTATAAGTACTATAATTTAATATACTGTACTTTTAATATATTCTATTTTTTATTAATGTCAATATCCTTATCATTATATTAGAAATATTTAAATGATTTAAGAAATTTAATGCTATCTTAATTCAGTTGCATTGCCTCACCGAAATAAAGAAATAACTTATGGTCAGTTGCTAACAGTGTTGTTTGCGCGTGACTTTCATACGTAGGGTAGGTAGCATCAGCGTACACGTGCAGCCGGAACAAATGTCAAAATTTAAATGGTTGCGCCTCAGCATGCGACGCGGCGCTGTTTCGCAAAAATCAGGTGGTCGTATTTACCAGCTGTGTATTCCTACCTTGTACTCGCGAATACGCATACAATAACTTCTAACTTTTTGCTACTAAACAGCCGATAATTCTAAAAAATCACATAAAAATTGTTATTTCCATCATTCCCGCTTTTACAAATCTGTTAAGACCGTCCGATTTTTCGAAAAATCAACAAAAATAACACATGGAGGGACTACTTTTGCGCGGAGTAATATCGGAAAACGTTCGAGCAAGTCAATATTCATTCTACTATTTTGCTGTAACAATGAATTTTTTTACAAGCAAAATAGGTCCGAATGTATGAATACGAATTTTAAAAGCTTATCAAAGTGAAGTTTCTTGAAAGTCTACATTTCTTGCACGATTATTCCTTTAAATAATTTTTGCGGAGGAATAACGTTGTGCTGCGATCGCACAGACGCAAGCCAATCCTGTTCATTGGCTGAAGGAAGCGAGCGACTCACACGCATACAATACTCACACATTTCTGCGAATACATATTCACGAACACTACTGCATCCTTTTCGTCAGGTTTCAGGGCTGCATCTATTGTACATAATGCCCCTCAATGATTAAAACATTTTTAATATTTTTAGCAACATAAAACAGTAAAATTAAAGTTCTAAGTATATATTTTTGTTTCACCCAACATTATATAACATAGAGACAACTATTCATCAAGAAAAAATTCATACTAAAATTCTTTATCATCAGTCGTTTTCATATTTCGCAAAAAGTATTGAAACGGGACCATCGCTGCTGCTGGAACCAATAACTCAATAATATTTAGGATATCTGTCGTTATTATACTTATTATAAATGTACACTGTCTGCACTTTTAGTAATTATTTGTTATACAAAACAAAAACGACTATTTGATAGATATTCCGCGATAAATATATCTAACAAAATATCGCAAACAATATTCCAGGTTTACGCGACGTGAATATTATCAGAAGATATCTGCAATTGAGCCCACAATACTTTTTATTTAATAAAATAATAGTGCGTCTTCTAATAGGGTAGTTTGAAACCGAATCGACATAAGTACGATCCTGGTTACTCGGTTTAAGTAGTGACGAAGGGAGAGGCAGGTTTGCGCACACACACGCGCACACCGGCGCAGAACAGCGAGCGAATTCACTCGCCGGCTCTCAACAAGAACGCGTCGACATATACACCGTGCTTGAACGTACTGAGGTGATATATCTGTTATTTATCCTACGGTCGAAGGCGAGTCAATCGTGAAAATGGCCGGGGAAAAACGTACTCAGGATCAAGAGGAAACCTTGCTTTCGGAAACGGTGATCTTAGTTGACATCGAGGGCACCACAACGAGCATAAGCTTCGTGAAGGTAACAAAGGCCATGGCCGTGAGGCAGAACGCGCCCTACGGTTCTCGCATTTCACCGGTTTTTCAACTAGTTCTCTGACAGTACCCGATGATTCGAATTTTCTCCGCGAAAATCTTCCCACGAAGAGACTGCTGAACGATATCCTATTGTTTTTCCTATCGGGGAAAATTCATGAACGATACTTTCGCGCGTGTTGAATGTATGACTCTCTCGGAGCACTATGCCGGCTGAAATCCAGTTCAGTTTCTGGTTCCCTGTCCGTGAGACAGCGAGTTTCATGGAAGGTAACAGTTATCGTTCGCTCGTATAGAAACACATTTATAACGGGTCCGATTCGATTTTTGACGTTAAGATTTTCTATTATGTTTACTCGTTTCTATTTTTTTGCGGAATATCGTAATCTTTCTTTGGGATGTTACAGCAAAAACAAACCGTGTGTGTTTTATAAAAATATTGGTTGCTCACCGACACGCAAAATATCGGTCGCGCGAGCCATCATTTTGTAACGCTTTAAGATGCACGATTTTTCAAAATAACGGAAATTATAACGGCGCACCGGCGGGGCGGGAGGGGGGGCGATTAATTCGATCCGCGACGAATTTACCACATTTATGCTCGCCTTCGTTTCCAGGATACCCTTTTCCCTTATGTACGAGAGAATTTAAAAAAATATGTTGAAACGAAATGGGAGGATGAGGAATTCAAACAGGATTTTGAAAAATTGAAGGAGCAGGTAAATATTGAAAATATAGCTGAGGAACATATTTTTGTAAAACATAGTTGACCTTATGTTATAAAGAATGTCTTTCTCTTTGTTTGGTATTATAAAAACATTCTTGGAAGTAATACATAGAATTGTATACTATTTACCAGTGTTCTGTTATTGATTGTTTACAAAGACACATGGTACATGTACACATTATATTCTTGTTTAGATAGCTTTTGAATGTTTTTTTTCTATTAATAATGCAGCACAATGCAATAAATTCAGCTGTATAGGTTTTAATATTGAATCTTAGAATGTAACCAATAGCATGACAGGAAAGAGGCAGCTGGTGGTTACATAGCTGGTAGAGACTGACCTGAGATTATTCTTTGTCCCAAAAGTTTACCACCCTAGTTTGTATGTATGTGAAATAAGTCTTTTATATTACATTAATATTTTATATTTCAAATTAGATTTTAAATTATTTGACTTAATTTATTATTCACATTCTTCAACAAATTTTTAATACTTTAATCTTTTGTTAGTATTTTCTGTTTTACATTAAATGATGTTCAAAAATATTTGTTAAACGAAATTATACAACAAAATATAATACATTGTTCTTTTTAATTGTGACTACTAAAAACCTCTATTTTACTTTGAATAAGTACATTTATTATAAATTGTTTTAAATTACATTAATATTGGGAATTATGTATTCTGAAATGCATTTAAACAAGTTCTATGTAGATGATTTTGTGGACAAGAAAAGGGTATTGTAAATTTTTATAAATTCATTGAAAATTAAGGAATTACCTTTATTTTAGGCAAAAAAAGATGAAGAAGATAAAGTTGATGGTTTTGTTCCTATTGCTGGTGCTAAAGCAGAGGAAGAAAAAGAATCACTTATGAAAAATATTTTGTGGCAAATGGATGGTGATCGCAAAACTGGTGCACTGAAACAATTTCAGGGACACATGTGGCGTGAAGCTACTAACACTGGAATAATCAAAGCACAGTGAGTTTGTCATGGAATTTATTGAAAAATATTTATGCTTAATATATACTATATTGTATATGTGAAAAAATCATTGAACAATATATTTGTAAGTATACTACAAATATATATTGTATACTAACATATTCTGTAATTTATTTCTATATACTACATATTTACTAACACCAAGGTACAATGATACGTTGAAAACAATGATTTGAAAGTAAACAAATGACTGTGTGCAAACATATGATATACACATTATATGTATATTGTGCTCATGATCATATGTTGCGAGGTGAATATGTTGTATAAGGGCTCACTTCAGTTTTACATACACAAGAATATTGTTAATATATATACAATCAATTAATATAATATGCAGTTATATAAATAAGTGCAAAATAATAATTTCCGTATTTATGTAGTGTTTACGAAGATGTGCCAAAAGCATTAGAATCGTGGACAAATGATGGTAGAAAAGTCTATGTTTATTCAAGTGGTAGTGTTGAAGCACAGAAACTTCTGTTTGGACATTCTGTACATGGTGATTTACTTAAGGTACTTTATACTTTACTGTATGTAATACTATGTGTATAAAAGATCTGCAAAATATTTTGATAGTATGTGCATACAGTGTGACATAAAATAATAATATGTAATTATTTTAGTATTTCAGTGGTTATTTTGATACTGATGTAGGGGCAAAACAAGAAGCAAGTAGTTACAAAAAAATATTAAATAAAATTGGAGCTGAGCCATCGAGTGTACTTTTTCTTACTGATGTTGTTAAAGGTTGGTAATTACTTTGTAATATTTGAATGTTCAAAAAACATACAGAGATGTACTAATATGTATGTTATTTTTCACTATAACAGAAGCAACAGCAGCTAAAGAATCGGGCTTATCAACAATTATAGTGCAGCGTGAGGGTAATGCTCCGTTAACCGATGAAGAAAAAGTTGATTTTACAACTATCAAGTCCTTCTTAGACTTAACGTTTCAAACATCTACGAAGAGACAAAAGTTAGAAACCACCGAAACGCAAGAAACTGTAAAGAAGGATACGGATACAAAGAAAGATATTAGTGAACCAATGGATACTTCTGAAGATGTTGAAATGTCTGATGTTAGCGAGAAGAAGGATGAGAAGGTGGAAATGAAAGAAGCTGTTCCAGCAGAAACAAAGGAAAGTGCAAAAGATCAATTACCGAAGGAAACTCAGAAATCAGATGTGAAAGCGGAAGAACCTATGATTACCGACGCAAAGGATACACCGAACACCGAAAAGGTAGCGGAAACTGTAGTAACCGAGAAAATAGAAGCCCAAGTGTCTGAGGTGAGTACAAAAGCAGACGTTTCTGAAAATGTACCTGTCGCGAGCAATAACACTGAATTGACATTAACACCTTCGAAGAACGATGCGGATAAGTCCATGGAAACTGAAAAAGTAGATAAAACTACGGATTCAGCCGAAAAAGCAGAAAAAGTTGTAGAATCTGCATCTGCAGAGACGACTCCCACTGTCAGTGATCCGTTGGATGTTACAAGTGAGCCTAAATCAAAGTCTGAAGAAGTTTCTATGAAAGAGAATGAGACTGAAGAATCCAAAAATATCATTAAAGAAACAAAGTCTGAAGATAGTACAGTACCAGATGTAAAACCTAATGAAAATGTATTGCAAGAGAAGAACAGTAGTAAGAATGTAGAAGAGAAAACTGAAGAATGTCCTAAAAGTAACAAGTCTGAAAAAGAAGCAAAGGAAGAGTCGGCTGAGAAGGTGCCCAAGCCTAGTACGACAGAAACCCAGAAATCAGAAAATGAGGAACCCTTGGTTAAACCTACACAGGAATCTACGAAAACTGATGAAAAGCCTGTAGAAAATGGCGATGTTCCATTGACGAACGTAGAGAAAGTGTCCGCACCAACGATAACAGAACCGGCAGAAGCTACCGGTAGCAAAGCAGAGACGAAAACCGAAGTAAAAAGTTCCACGGAAGCAAAACCGGCGGAAAAAACGGAGTCAGAATCTGTCAATGATAAAATTTCAAACACAAAAGAAACACAGGAGGCAGCTGTGTCTGTAAAAGAAACCGAAAAGAATGAGGCCAGTGCTGAAGCAAAACAGGAGTCGAAAGAGAAACCAGTGAAAGAAGAAACTGTAGCAGACGAAGTGAAAGAAACAAGTACAGTGGATCCCGAAAAGAAGAAATTAAATGGTACAACACAAAATGGAGACACAGATGTGAAAGTGTCGGATGATAAATTACATAGAAACGGACTAAACGAAGGATCATCATCTGAAACTGTTAATTCATCAACCAACGAAAGCACATCTGCACAGAATGGTGAACCAGAGAGTTCTTCAGAAGCTAATGCAGAATCTATAAAAGTCAAAAAGGTCGTTGATTCTGCAGTAGCCGACGGTGCCGGTGAACCTGATGTTGTTCCGCCCGTAGTTGTAGCTGCGACGTCTTAATCTTGTTCTTTATACATTTTAAGAAGTCCTTCATACATAACCCCAACCCACAATACTTATCCGCAGGTATAAACTGGAAAAGTTGGCTCCCTACACCCTACATAAATTGTACGACGTTAAAGAAGTAATACGTTTAATTTAAGATGCAGCTCATAGGATTTCTATTTCTTAAAAGAATGTGAAGGGAAACGATGATATATGACATCCGCAGCGTGTTTCAGATTCGATTATCTTTTAGATCTAATAACTTGATTGTTGATTGTGCTCACTAGAGAAATGATCGTGAAACTTTTGTTTTGTATTTTAAGTCGCTTAACTTATCTCTTGTAGTACGGACTGTCTTTTTTCAGTTTACCCTCCTTTGTTTTTTTTAGTTTGTTTGTATCGAGTACATTTTTTATAGTCGACAATATGCATTTATATTATGAATTGACTGAAGATAATCGAACGTGTCATTCGCTGTACCGTTTGTTTACTAGTATTTTTTCATTCATTCTTTTTCTATTACAAGTTTACAATGCGTATTAAGATCTTATTTTATATTGCCTAAACGGAATGTTACGGTATGAAAAAACTCATAGGATAGGAAATTCATCACAGTTGGAGTATGCTAAAATACCGAATGTATGTACTTTGTGCCAAATGAATTAATTCGTCACTTTTTTAAACGTTTTTTCTAACGCGGTTGTACGTACAGCGTTGAACGATCTGATCGATAATTTTTAGTTTCTTGGAATGAACAGGAGATTTTGAGACTATTATATGATTTTTTAAGACTGAATTGGTAATGCCTCGAACAGTCGCTGGCTTTAGACTTATACACTATATAATTTTTGCATACTCTTGTGTACTTAATTCTTGTAAATGGATATAAACACACAGTGACCTTCGAATCATAGGTCTGACGCCGAATAGGCTGTGGTTTTACATTGAACTTCTTTCGACCATGTTGAACATTACTTATTCGCGTCCTAAAGGCCGCAGACGTGACTTACTCGATGTTTCATACATCATATTCCTATTTTCTCTTACGACATTATTCGTTATTAATAATCGTCGATATTAAGTCGTTTACATGTCTCTGTGAAAAAGAAAACGCAACTAATACGATAACGCGAGTACACGCGTTACACTATTAGTATGTAACGTAATACGGAACATTGACTTTGGTACTCGATTCATTTTTATTCCTGCGATCTAATGTTAAAGTCTGTTACGCGACGATCAGTGTTTCTTAGGATTCGTAAATTATTCTCCGGATTTGACAAAGACTCGTCTATTTATTTATTATCCATTCCTGCAAAATTGACTGTGATTTAACGATATTAATAGACATAGGGAACTTAAAACGATTTCATTATTATTCACGTATAGTAATTTCCTTTGGCAGGCTGTACCGTATTAATATCTATTTGTTTTTTTTTTTTAATTTTTTTTTTTTTTTATATCGAAATTATGCATCCTGTCGGATTCAAGTCACTGTGAAGAGAAGACTGTAGACAGTAATAGACTGTAAGCGAATCAAAGTTTCCATATTGTACTTCTTTTCTTCTTATTGCTTGTTCACACCGATCGTACTTTGCCGGCGACTTTAATGCTAGGGAAATTCAACGATCCGCAAAGAGAGGAGCATTAAACGAGATTATGAACTATGTGCGACGTCAGCGTGTTCTTAGGACCTCGTTATCTATAAGTACATGTATAGTCCCGGTAACGATTATAATTATGAAACTCGAAAAATCGAACGCATATTTTACAGGACATTACCGACAGACCTCGCATTTATTTATATATGGTGCCCACGACAACGACGACGACGACGAAAAAAAAAAAAAAAGAAAGAAAAATCATTTTTTAATGCTCGATCACTTTTGACGTTGCACAGATTCAAGCCCTTCGAACCGTCACCACGGACGGTCATAAGAAATGAAATGTGAAACGTGTGTATGAGAACCACATACGTATGTTCTATTCACGTACCGGTAGTCGGGAAACTTTGTACTACTTGATTCCTTGTCAATGACGTAAAAACCGATCGTAAGGGATCATAGCTGTTAAGACCAAGTAAACCGATTCGTATCGATTCCATTTCGATGTACACCAATTAAGTTCGGTGCATAAAAAACGACTATCAATCGACATCGTGGATTTTTTAATAAGTAACGGTTACAAGTTCACTGAAACGCATCGATAACAGAAACGCGCCGTCCCCCTTCCTCTCGAAACGCTCAAAATAACAAAGATTGCGAGCCAATCTCTTATTGAAACTTCACTGGGGGGGGGGAGTGCGTTTCTTTTATCGATGATCCCCTTATATTAACGAGCACAATTTCGTTGAAAAGACCTCGAGAGGTCTGAACGATCGTAAACTGCCGATATATATTGCCATAATGAATTTTCTTAAATAGATTCTTTCGTATAACAAACACGTGTATTTTCGTAAGTCCTAATCGCTCGCGCGCAGACGCGAATCGACTGCCATCATCTACGATAAAAATGTTAAGCCCTCCTCCTCCCCCCCTCCCTTTTATCGAGCACCGAACGACGGTGTGCGCGTCAGACTACCATTCTCGGCTGACTTTCATGGCATCATCTACCAATCATCATCATCATCCCCCCCCATATCATTCCATTCTTCTTCTTGCGTCGATAGTCGGAATGGGGGTCTGGACTGCACATCGTCGGTTCGCGTCGCTCGGTTCTCTTTCGCGTATATTGTTGCTCAATGTCAACGAACCTATGTAGCGTTTCTTTGTCCGCTTAATTACAAATATAACAGCGTGGTTAAGGTTCTTATTGTTTTAGAGAACGTTTTTAACTCTTTGTGGTTTGATTCCATTTTTTTTTTAATCGAATTTCGCGGTGAATCGAGCATATATGTTGGACACACGGTCTGACTTTCGAGTCAGATTTATAGGGTATGAGATTTGCTCGGAACGTTTTTTTCTTTTGTACGCGATTACAGTTAATCGAAGAGGATTATATGTCAGATCGGGAACGTAAATACATATACTTGAATTTTGATACCGAACCGCAAAGTGTTAAAATATACAGCGTTTCCAAGTCAACATTCAAATGTGTCGAATTGTAACGTATGTGTCACTTTAGAGATTCAGATGGATATTCGATACACCCCGGGTGTGATACGGCAGCTTGTAATTGCACACACAAACACACACACACACACACACACACAGAGTGTCTCGCGAGGATGTAAGTCGAAAAGTGGATGATCTTGAATGTAAAACGAGGTCGGAAATTGTAATCATAAGATTTTTTTTGGATACTATGGTATCTTCTTTCGAGAAAATCAGTTTTGAATACGATTGAGCTCGTTAATAAAAAATAATGTATACCAATAATGGAGATTCATAACGAGACCTGTTTTTTATTGTAAGGTGTATGCAAAGAAGTTCAAACGTTTCTAAATTTTTTTTCTTGAACTTCATCACTAGTCCGCATACTTTAAAAAAAAAAAAACAAACAATTTTCTCGAAATCGAAGCTACGCGCAAAAGATCGTATTTACGCGTTTTCGATTCATCTTCTTTTTCTATCCCACTTTTAATACAGAATCATCTGCTCTTTGTACCGTTAATTATGAGATACCCTGTATATATATACACACCAACACACAACTTTTGTTCTACGTATTTATTAGCGAGGAATGATCCTGGGCGCACGGTTGCGTGGCCGTTGAGATTCACTGCCTTGTTATATTTATTATTTCACGATCGAACCGTACACCATCAGTCCACGGAATCGTTGGTAGAAACGTTGATTACGTTGTAATTTCGTTTGTAAAACGGATTAGCGTGCGTCGCCTGCGCACACACCGTTCCTCTAACACCATGACACATCCAACTCTTTTGTTTTTGTTTTCTTTTTTTTTTTTTTTTTTTTTTTTTTTTTTTTTTTCTTGAACTCGTACCAGGCAGTTGTAGGCTTTGTAAGCGGGGAAACGCGACGGTAAAAATTTCTATTAAGAGAAGTCGCGTGGGGCTTACGAAACAAACAGCTGTCCCAAGTTGGTGGTATATGCGTATAAGGACACTCGTCGTCCTCTTCAAACTATTAGAATACCGAAATAAGACGTTTTTAAGTACCGAGGATTAGGAGTACTAACAAACAATAGCTTGGTAACGATTAGCGATTCTTACTTGTAATTCATTGGCTATTTTATTGTAATACGTCAATATAAGCGTAGGAGAGAATGTACGGACTTAATTGAATACTTTTTAACGATAACCTTTTTCGACGGACGGTTTATCCAATCGTGAAGGGTTTTATCGCGAGACTGCGCGCTCCGTCGCTTTTTCTTTCTCAGCCAAGTATTTCTTAACGTATATTTTCCATTATTATCATTTTAATTCTGTTTTTTTTTTTTTCTTTTACAAGACACAGGTGTAGTTGTACCATTACCATTTTTCACCGCTCTGAACGACTAAACGTATGCGTGTGTGTATGTGTATGTGTCTGTGTATGATTGCGTATGTTTCACGACGAAGGCACAAAACGAAATTTCTTTTTTATTTTAACGCAGGCCGGTTTAACGATCCATGGGATCTCTATATGTTCATCGGGCAGACACACTACCCGTAACCCCCTCCACGGAACCACTAAAAAATATGGTGTACAGAATGAATCGATGAATTCTGTTCTCTCGGAACTCCTGACTGCATTCGTAGAGCAAAATAAACAAATTTTGCAACTAGAATCTAACGATCGTGTGTTGCTTTGTTTCTTTATTTCATCGTTCCTCGTGTCTGTATACGACTTTACTGTCCGGTTGTTGAGAAAAAAGAGAGTGAGAGAGTGAGAGTGCGTGTGAGTGTGAGAGAAAGAGAATATTAAAATCAATGTGCTCAGTCATTCTTCATACTGTAAATTTTGTTTAGGTGTATATATCGTGGTATTTGCATTATTAAACGAAGTAAGAAACGATTAGCGTCCGTAACTTTTAGAATTAAAGGAACGATATAAATATTGAGTAAAAAGAAAAAAATTAACGTGTATCGATGTACGTGATTGCAAAAATTTTAAAACCATGCTCCGGCGTATTGTTTCTACGAATTGATTCACGCTACTCTTGCCACCCCCCGAGCTAGTCGATAAACATTTAGGTGGAATACTGCATTCTCGCCCGAACGATCCTTGAGTGCTAGTCATTCTACTTGCGCGCACCGAACCCTCGTCAATTTATCCTCGAGCAGCCGATTCATTAGATCGAGATGTAAAAGTCTCACTCGGACGACAATTTCCGTTCTGAAGCAATAATACGAAGACCGGATGAGAATCAACACCTTTCGTTTTTTTTTTTTTTTGTTTCTTTCGACGTAATGTTAAG